TGGCATGCTGGGAACCAGGCCGCAAAAGCAGTGGGTGAGCAAACAAAGCTTCATCTGCACATGCACAGGATCTAGACTGCATGTGAAACCATTCCTCTCCGGTCTGTGGAAGATAAGTTTTCTTCCAAAATTGGCCCTGTTCCCAGAAAGGTTGCGTACTGCTGTTCTGGGATATTAATATTCTATGGCCATAGCTACTATGGCATTATTTTGTGAATGGGTGAATGGGTGACTATCTATCTTGAGAGATTTCAGGAAACAGACATTGCAAGGATTACAGGAATGCTACTTCATTGTTGTAGGGCAAAATAACAAAATATTAAAATCCTTCTAGAATTTCTCTGTCCCTTTATACCAAACAGAATCAAGTTACGGTTACAGTATTTTGATGGTTTTGCTTCAAATTCATGCCTTTCCCTTTTTGAGGACTGGAGTGGTCTTTAATTTTCTTTCTTCCCGCATTCCTCAAGTAAGGTTATATCCACAGTCCTCTACAATGAGGCCAAGAGTCTCACAACAGGCATTCTAAATTCCAGAGAAGGCCATCAATCAAAATGCACTGGGAACTTCTGGTTTTTAGTATCAATTTCCAAAAAGCAGAATTATATCTTCCATAACTCCTACTAATCTTTAATAATTTAATAAACTCCTTAATAATGTAATAACTGAGCAATATCTTAAATTAAAAACTGAAATGTCAAATGACTAAGAAGGTATCAGCCTTGAATCACAGTAGATCAATATCCCACTAATGTTTATTACAATCATTCATTTAATGACTGTTCAAAGTTATAATGGCCTTGAAAAAAGTGACTTGTGACTGTTTTTTCACACTTATGACCACTCTGGCATCCCCATGGTAATGTGATCAAAATTTGGATACTTGACAACTGGCTTATATTTATGACAGTTGCAGAGTCTTAAGGTCAAGTGATCTTTTGTAACCTTGTGACAATAAAAATCAATGGGGAAGGCAGATTCACTTTACAACTGTGTTACTAACTTAACAACTTCCATGACTCATTTAACAACTGTAGTGATTGTCTCACTCAGCAATGGAAATGTGGGGCTCAATGGTGGTTATACTGTAACTTGAGGACTACCTGTATTTATATGCTTCCTCTCCTTGAACAGTTCTGAATAGTTTATAAAGTGTAATATATACATATATGACAAGCATTAAAAGTAAGATATTAATTAAAAGCAGGAGGAAGAAAAAGAGGATAGATATAAAACACAAAAGGTAAACAAGTGGTATTAAAATGTCTGGAAAATTAATATGTTTTCACCCCTCAAAAATGTAATAGGAGATTTATTTCAACTCCAATGGCATCTTCCCCCCATAATATATACTTTTTACCAGGATAAAAAAGTACTCTCTGATATGTACTGTAGTATACCTTCAGTGGGATTTGAGGCCTTCCAGTTTGTTATGGTTATTCTGATTTATAATTTTGGATCCCTCCCAAATGTCAACTCTTCTTATTTTCTTACTAAAGTCCTAGCCAACAGACAGCTTCAGATTAATTTAGAAAAGAAAAACCTCACCACTATAAAAGTATCCCTGCTATATACAAAATTTTAGATAAAACTTATATACAGATAAAACTTTAGCGGTTAAACTGAATCAGAAATCGGGGAATTTGATTTTTTTTTAAAAAGCACAGCTGAATAAGCGAGTCACATGTAACAATCTGTTTGAAAAATCTGTTTTCAATCTGTTTGAAAACCAATAAACAACTTGCAACAGATGTGCCAAAGGTTTTAAAGAAAATGAAAATCTCTCAGAAGTGATATCTCCAGAATCATTACCACAAAAATATTTTTTGCTTTCTAAACATTCTTAGCATAAGGAAAGGAAAGGAAAAATTTCCTTCTTCCTAATAGTTCAGAAATAGAAGTTATTCTAACATGGCAGCTAAACAAAAAGGAATGTCTTTTTTGATGTGTTGATGTGAAAAAGTTTTATGACTCAGCTCGTGCTGAGTTTACTAATACAATTTAAACAAATTGTAGTGTTTTTAATGTACTTTTTAAAAAGGGGGGGAAATCCTAGAGATTTTTTAAAAAGTCTTTTAGTTTATCTTTTAGTTTTCCACTTAAACTTATTTTTCTGGAGCTTTTCTCTTTTATACATCCTATAATTCATATTCTTTCAGAAGAAAAGGATTCCCTATCTAGCAGATAGGTTGATCAAGTATATATTAGCGGC